AAAAAAAAAAAAAAAATCTTCAATAAGATGGCAAAGCAAATTCTGCACTGTATAAAATGGATAACATGTCATGACCAAGTGTGATTTATCCAAGGAAGGCAAGGTTTACTCAACATCTGAAAAATCAATGTAATTTTTCACATTCACAGAATAGAGAAAAATCATTATCAACTGAATAGATACAGAAAAGGCAACACTTATTTATTATAAAGTCTCAGCAAACTAGGCAGAGAAAAAATGCTTAAACTGATAGCTAACATCTACAAAAAAATTAAGTTACCATCATACTTAATGGTAAAAGACAATAATATGTTACTAAGATCAGGAATCAGGCAAGGATGTACCTCTCAGCACTTTATTCAACGTGGTATTAGAGGTTCTAACTAACGCAATAAGGCAAGGAAAAAAAGGGCATAAAGATGAAAAAGGAACTGGCTGGGTATGGTGACTCATGCTTGCAATCCCAGCACTTTGGGACGCTGAGGCAGGCAGATCACTTGAGGTCAGGGGCTCGAGAGCATCCTGGCCAACACAGTGAAACTAAAAATGTTTCACCCTGTCTGTACCAAAAATACAAAGATTAGCTGGGCGTGGTGGTGCATGCCTGTAATCCCAGCTCCTGGGGAGGCTGAGACAGGGGAATCACTTGAATCTGAGAGGCAGAGATTGCAGGGAGCTGAGACTGCACCACTGCACTCCAGCCTGGGTGACAGAGTGAGACTTCCTAACAAACAAAAAAAAGATTAAAAAGGAACAAATAAAACTTCCTTTATTTGCAGACAGTATGACTGCTTACATAGAAAATCCTAAAGTATCTATAAAAACTAGTAAGTTGATTTAGCAAGTTTGCAGGTCACAAGGCTGACATGGAAAAATCACTTGTATTTCAATATACTAGCAATAAACAACTGAAGAACAAAATTTTCAAAAATGCCACTTAAACACCATCAAGTGTGTATGTGTGTATTTATTTATTTATTTGAGATGGAGTCTTACTCTGTCGCCCAAGCTAGAGAGCAGTGGTGTAATCTCTGCCCACTGCAATCTATACCTCCCGGGTTCAAGTGATCCTCCTGTCTCAGCCTCCCAAGTAGCTAGGATTACAGGCACCTGCCACCACACCTAGCTAATTTTTACATTTTTAGTAGGGATGGGGTTTCACCATGTTGGCCAGCTGGTATCGAACTCCTGACCTCTGGTACTTCACCCGCCCTGCCCTCCCAAAATGCTGGGACTACAGGCATAAGCCACCATGCCCAGCCTCAAAAGTAAAGTATTTACGTATATTTTAACAGTACGTACGTAAGACCTGCACACTGAAAACTACAAACAAGACTGCGTGCGGTGGCTCATACCTACAATCTCAGCACTTTCGGAGACGGAAGCAGGAGGATCACTTTAGCCCAGGAGTTTGAGACCAGTCTGGGCAACATGTGGTGCACACCTGTAGTCCCAGCTACTCAGAGAGCTGAGGAAGAAGAATTGCTTGAGCCCAGGAGGTCTAGGCTGTAGTGAGCCATGATTGTACCACTGCACTCCAGCCTGGGTGACAGTGCAAGACCCTGTCTCAAAACAAACACACACAAATATCTGTTTTCATTTCTTTTTCTTTTTTTTGTTACACTTTGTTTTTCTGTACTTCAACAGATGCAAAGGGATCAGCAGTTTGGGAGGCTGAGATAGGAGGACTCCTTGAGCTCAGGAGTTTGAGGCCAGCCTGGCCAACATGGCAAAACCTACTCTCTACAAAAAATACAAAAATTAGCCGGGCACACGTCTGTAGTCCCAGCTACTCGGGAAGCGGAGGTGGGAGGATTGCTTGAACCTGGGAAGCAGAGGCTACAGTAAGCTGAGATGGAGTCCCCATATTTTAGCCTGAGTGACAGAGTGAAGCCCTGCGTCAAAAAAAAAAAAAAAAAAAAAAAAATTAGCTGGGCGTGGTGGTCCTAGCTACTCAGAAGGTGAGATGGGAAGATCACTTGAAAAGGGAGATAAAGCTGCAGTAAGCTATGAGCACATATGTCACTGCACTCTAGCCTGGGTGACTGAGTGAGAGTCTGTCTCAAAAAAGAAAGAAGAAAGAAAGCTGGAAGCCAGGCACAGTGGCTCATGCCTGTAATCCCAGCACTTTGGGAGCCCAAGGCAGGAGGATCGCCTGAGGTTGGGAGTTCAAGACCAGCCTGGACAACTTAGTGAAACCCTCTCTCTACTAAAAATACAAAAATGAGCTGGGTGTGTTGGCGAATGCCTGTTAGCCCAGCTACTCAGGAGGCTGAGGCAGGAGAATCGCTTGAATCCGGGAGGCAGGGGTTGCAGTGAGCGGAGATGGCACCACTGCCCTCCAGCCTGGGTGACAGAGCGAGATTCCATCTCAAAAAAAAAAAGAAAGAAAAAGAAGCTGGAAGATTTACAATGCCAAATTTTAAGATTTACTATAAATCTGCAATTTTTATGACAATGTAGTATTGATAAGCATCAACATAGAAATCAATGGCAGAACAGACAATCCAGAAACAGATATACACATACACAGTCAATTGATCTTATCAAAAGTGACTAAGTAACTCAATGGAATGGGATAGTCTTTTTGATAATCAGGCTGGTACAACTGAATATCTGTATTAAAATAAAAGATCTATATATCATAAATAGTAAGCTTGAAATGCATCATAGACCAGAAGGCAAAGCTAAAACTATAAAACTTCTGGAAGAAAATACACTATATATATTTGTGACCTTGGGTGGAGTAGGCAGATTTCTTAGGACGCAAAAACACAATGCTGCAAAAAAAACCAACCAAACAAACAAAAAAAACCTGATAATCTGGATTTCATCAAAATTTAAAAGTGTACTTCAAAAAACAAAATTTCAAAAAAGAAAAGGTAAGTCACAGATTGGGGGAAAATATATGTTTTAACAAAAGACATATCAAGAATAAAGAATTCTTACAACTCATTAATAAGCACGAAACCCAGTTTTTTTTGTTTTTGTTTTTTGTTTTTGAGATGGAGTCTCACTCTGTCACCCAGGCTGGAGTGCAGTGGCATGATCTTGGCTCACTGCAACCTCCGCCTCCCGGGTTCAAGCAATTCTCTGCTTCAACCTCCCGAGTAGCTGGGATTACAGGCACAAGCCACCACACTCAGCTAATTTTTGTATTTTTTAGTAGAGACGGGGTTTCATCATGTTGGCCAGTCTGGTCTTGAACTCCTAACTTCGTGATCCGCCCGCCTCGGCCTCCCAAAGTGCTGGGATTACAGGTGTGAGCCACCGCACCCGGCCACAAAACCCAATTAAGTGAACAAAAGATGTGAACAGACACTTGACAAAAAAATATATACAAATGGCCAATGAGCCCATGAAAAGATGCTCAAAGTCATTAGTCACCAGAAAAATTGAAATTAAAACCATAGTGAGATACCACTACATATTCACGAGAATGGTCAACATCAAAGACTGATGACCAGCAAGGGTATGGAACAACGAGAATTCTCATAACCACACTGGAAAACTTTGGCAGTT